CCAGACAGTTCTGTATCCATGCTGCTACTGTCCCTGTAATACCGTGGTTACAAGTCTCTTAAGTCGCATTTGATCAAATGCCTTTTCAGACTCCATATAAACTACATCAACTGCAATACCTCCATCCACCCTTTCTGTTACTTCACCAAAAATTGGGAATTGAATGAGGTGGATGAGTGAGAATTCTGTGAAGGAATTTGGTGAGAGTGGGAATTGAGTGAGTAGGAACAGAAGGAGAATATCATTAAGGAATTTGGTGACAGTGGGAATTGAGTGAGGTGGAACAGAGTGAGAATTCTGCTAAGGCAATTGGCGAGAGTGGAAATAGGGAGAGGTGGAACAGAATGAGAATTCTGTTGAGGAATTTTGTGAGATTAGGAATTGAGTGAGGTGGAACAGTGTGAGAATTCTGCTAAGGAATTTGGTGAGAGTGGGAATTGAGTGAGAAGTAACAGAGTGAGAATGCAGGTAAACAATTTGGAGAGAGTGGGAATTGAGTGAGGTGGAACAGAGTAGGAATTTCACTGAGTAAATTGGCGAAAGTAGGGATTCAGTGAGGTGGAACAAAATGAGAATTCTGTTAAGGATTTTGGTGAGAGTTGGAATTGAGAGCGTGGAATAGAGTGAGAATTCTGCTAAGGGCATTGGCGAGAATGGAAATAGAGAGAGGTGGGACAGAATGAGAATTCTGTTGAGGAATTTGGTGAGATTAGGAACTGAGTGAGGTGGAACAGAATGAGAATACTTTTAAGGAATTTCATGTGAGTGGGAATTGAATGAGATGGAACAGAGTGAGAATTCTTCTAAAGAATTTGGTGAGAGTGGAATTTTAGTGAGGAGGAACAGAGTGAGCATTTTGTTGAGGAAATTGGTGAGAGTGAAAATTGAATGAGGTGAAACAGAGTCTGAATCTTGTTAAAGAAGTTGGTGAGAGTGGGTATTGAGTGAATTGGAACAGAGTGAGAATTCTGTAAAGACTTGCGAGAGCATCACTAGAGGAAAGAGTCCAGCAGCGTGAGGAGGCAACTGACTGAGGAGGAACAGAGTGAGCATTCTGTTTAGGAAATTGATGAGAGGGGCAATAGAGAGAGGTGGAACAGAATGAGAATTTATTTAGGTGTTTTGTAAGAGAAGGAATCGATTGAGGTGGCATTGAATGAGAATTCTGCTAAAAAAATCGTGAAAGTGGAAATTGACTGAGGAAAAACAGATTGAGCATTCTGTTGAGAAATTTGGTGATAGTGGGAATTGAGAGAGGTAGAACAGAGGGAGCATTCTGTTGAGGAATTTGGTGAGAGTAGGAATCAAGTGACGTGCAACAGAGTGAGATTTCTGTTCAGGAATTGGATGAGATTGGGAATTGAGTGATGTGGAACAGAATGAGAATACTTTTAAGGAATTTGGTGTGAGTTGGAATTGAGTGAGGTGGAACAGAGTGAGAATTCTGTTACGAAATTTGGTGAGAGTGGGAATTTAGTAAAGTGGAACAGAGTGAGCATTCTGTTTAGGATTTGGGTGAGAGTGGGAATTGAGTGAGGTGGAAAAGTTGAGAATTCTGCTAAGGAAATTGGCGAGAGGGGGAATTGAGTGAGGTGGAAAAGAATGAGAATAATGTTAAGGAATTTGGTGAGAGTGGGAATTGAGTGAGGTGGAACATAATGAGAATTCTGTCGAGGAATTTTGTGAAAATGGGAATTGAGTGAAGTGGAACACAGAGAGAACTCTGCTAAGGAATTTGGTGAGAGTGGTAATTGAGTGAGGTGGAACCGAGTGAGAATTCTGTTTAGGAATTTGGTGATAGTGGGAATTTAGTGAGGTGTACCAGCGTGAGAATACTGTTAATAATTTGGTGATCTTGGGAATTGAGTGAGGTGGAAAAAGGTGGGATTTTGTCAAGGAACTTGGCCAGAGTGGGAATTGAATGAGGTGGAAGAGAGTGAGAATTGCGTTAAGGAATTTGGTGAGAGTGGGAATTGAGTGAGGAGGAACAGATTGAGCATTCTCTTTAGGATTTTGGTGATAGTGGGAATTTAGTGACGTGGAACAGCGTGAGAATACTGATAAGGAAATTAACGAGAGTGGGAATTGAGTGAGGTGGAACAGAATGAGAATTTTATTAAGAATTTGGTGAGCTTGGGAATTGAGTTAGGTGGAAAAAAGTGAGATTTTGTCAAACTTGGCCAGAGTGGGAATTGAATGAGGTGGAAGAGAGTGAGAATTGCGTTAAGGGATTAGGTCAGAGTGAGAATTCCGTTAAGGAATTTAGTGAGAATGGGAAATGAATGAAGTGGAACAAAGATAATTCCTTTTAGGAATTTGGTGAGAATGGGGACGGAGTGAGGAGTAACAGAGTGAGAATTCTGCTAAGGAAATTGGAGAGAGGGGAAATTGAGTGAGGTGGAAAAGTTGAGAATTCTGCTAAGGAATTTGGTTAGAGTGGGAATTTAGTGAGGTGGAATAGAATGAGAATTCCATTAAACAATTTGGAGAGAGTTTAAATTGAGTGAGGTGGAACAGAATGAGAATTCTGCTAAGGAAATTGACGAGAGTGGGAATTGAGTGAGGTGGAACAGAATGAGAATACTGTTAAGGAATTTGGTGAGAGGGGGAATTGAGAGAGGTGGAACAGAGTGAGAATACTGTTAAGGAATTTGGTGATAGTGGGAATTGAGAGAGGTGGAACAGAGTGAGAATTCTGCTAAGGAATTTGATGAGAGTGGAAATTTAGTGAGGAGGAACAGATTGAGCATTCTGTTTAGGATTTTGTGATAGTGGGAATTTAGTGATGTGGAACAGCGTGAGAATACTGATAAGGAAATTAACGAGTGGTAATTGAGTGAGATGGAACAGAATGAGAATTCCGTTAAGTATTTGGTGAGCTTGGGAATTGAGTGAGGTGGAAAAAAAGTGAGATTTTGTCAAGGAACTTGGCCAGAGTGGGAATTGAATGAGGTGGAAGAAAGTGAGAATTGCGTTAAGGGATTAGGTGAGAGTGAGAATTGAGTGACTAGTAATAGAGTGAGAATTCTGTTAACGAATTTGGTGAGAATGGGAAATAAATGAAGTGGAACGAAGATAATTCCATTGAGGAATTTGGTGAGAGTGGGAACTGAGTGAGGAGTAACAGAGTGAGAATTCTGCTAAGGAAATTGGCGAGAGGGGGAATTGAGTGAGGTGGAAAAGAATGAGAATAATGTTAAGGAATTTGGTGAGAGTGGGAATTGAGTGAGGTGGAACATAATGAGAACTCTGTCGAGGAATTTTGTGAAAATGGGAATTAAGTGAAGTGGAACACAGAGAGAA